AGTGCCTATGAGAAGGGAAAACCCAGCCTAAAAGGACCGTTGCCATGGCGGCACAGTGGCATCAAAGGGGGGGGGGGACCTGTTTGCATTCCTATTTAAACATTCACACAAGCTTTCCATTCCCAGATCTGGAAGAAAAGGGGTGGAAATATTAGATGCATTTAACGCTGTTTTTTAAAACAACGCCCGCCCCAAGGCTAGAAACCATGGGCGATGATGAAGTACCTCACCTTAAGACACTCCGCCCCCCTAGGGGAGCTGGCAGGGGCGAAGGGAATGGAGGGGGAAAACCCACGTATCCCCCACCCCAATAAAAGCTGCAAAACGGGGTCAACGAAATAAAACCGAAAAGGATAACAACGTGGCTCTGCGCTTGGAGCCAAAGTCAACGTCTTGCGGTCCAGAGTCCCGGGCAGGGGAGTCAAAGGGATCTGCCCTCTTCCTGCCCAAAGTGCTGGGGGGGGCCATCTTCTGCGCCCCCTCCCCCCGCGAGGGTTTCACGCCTTCCGGCTCTTGAGCGCCTTGGGTTTTGCGGACTTCTTCACCTTCTTGGCGCTGGGGGAGACCGCGGTCTTCTTGGCCGCCTTCTTGGCTTTCACCTTGTCCTTTTTCACCGATCCGCCGCCGACACTTTTCTTGTGCGACTTTTTCTCGGGCTTTTTGCTCTTGACGACGGGCTTCCTCTCGGCCTTGCGGGAAGTGGAAGCCGCCGCCGCCGGCACCACCGCCACCGCCTTCTTGAGGGTCTTGGCGTGGGAGGCGCCGCCGCCGCCCCCTTCGCCGCCGCCCTCCAGCTTCTTCTTGTTGAGCTTGAAGGAGCCGTTGGCGCCGGTGCCCTTCACTTGGAGCAGGGTGTCGTTCTGCACCAGCGCCTTGATGGAATACTTGAGGTAGGTGCGCCCGTTCTGCTGGTCGAACCAGGCCACTTTCTTGGCTTCGTTGTAGATCTTGGCCAGCGAGGAGCCATTGCGCTCGCCCAGCTTGCGGATCGTCTCCACCACTAGCTGGCTGTACTTGCCCGGCTGGTTCTTTTTCTTGTTGTTCTTCCGCCTCTTGGAGGGCGAGAGGGACGAGCCGCCCGCCTTGGCTTTCTTGGACGTGCCTTTCTTCTCGGGAGCCAGGGGCGCCTCTTCAGCCTCAGTCAGGGGCAGGTCGGCTTCTTCTAGTTCAACCGACATGGTGCCAAACGTAGACGGAGCTCCTTCGGGAGAGGCTGGGGGTCAGAGATAAGGGGCGAGCGGCTTAGCCTCGCTCGGCGGTTCTTGGGGCACAAGGAAACCGACGCCCCAAACCTGGGTCGACGCTGCAAGTGGAGATGAATACAGCTCCCTTCTCTCCGGCTCGGCAAAGCGATCTGCCTGGGCGGGCTCCGATGCAGCTCCTTATATGGGCAGGGAGCGGACCACGTTGAGAACAATAACAGGGAGCGACGAGGCCGGCTCCAAGTTGTGCTTTTTGTGGCCCCTTTGCCGGGCTCTCCCGCCACCGGCTGAGACCCTAGGGACGGGGCGCCGCTGCCACCCCCTGCTCCCGACGGTGCCTGATCGAGCTGCCCACGTGTCACACCTCCCCGGGGCCCGGAAGGGTGCCCCCGAGGGGATTTTAAGGACGTACCCTATGCTGGGCAGAGACCGAGGATGGGGGCGCCCTGTATGGAGGGCTCTGTGCGCCCCGGAAAGGACCGCCGGTCCCAGCTAACGCACGTCGTGGGGAGAGAAGAGGATGCTGCAGGGCTCTGACCGGTCATGGGGCGTCGGCGATCTTTGGGGGGCGCGCTAGCCCGGAGTTAATTTGTTGTAACTAACACACTGGACGCCCTCACGTGGTCGGCTGCAGCAGCACGGAGCTGGAGAGCGGATTCCAGGGGGTCCCCGCCCGATCTGGAGGGGCTATGACTCATGGGGCTGCAGGGCTTAGAGAGGGCAGGGTTTGGCTACGCCGGGGACCTCGCTGTAGGGGGCAGCGCCCCCCGATTTGAAGCCAGGATACTCGGTTGTATTCCCTCCCTCCAGCGTCTCAGGCAGTCCCGATGGGGGAGGCTTCTGCTCTCGAGTTTGAAGTGACACGGAAAGGGAAAAGAGGTGCCCTCGATTTGGCTGTTGGGGAGCCCCGAAACGATTCCTAACCCGAGGTATACAAACTAGAGAAGTAACTGATGAGACGGGAAGAGGGGCTGGTCTTTAACAGCCGGGGGGATGGGAGGACTGGAAGGAAGGGGTTTTTAGGTCTTCGCACACTCTATTGCTTTGGGTTTGGGGCTTGTGCCGCAGTGTGACTGTTTACGAACTATTGGTTACAGGCAGGCTTAGGATGCAGAGGGGGCTCAGTGGTCGCACTTGGAATCTAGATGGGAAAGGGCGGGCTTGGACTCTCCCCAGCTTTGGAATTGGGGAGCTAACACTGCAATCGGGGGTGTGGCGCTGTGGGCGCCCTCTCTCGCTTGACTCCCCCGCCGCCGCCCCACTTTTTGCAGAGCTACCTGGAGAGGGGGCGGCACCCTTGAGTTTCTGGAAAGCGGCGGTCTGAGGCGTACGGAAGGGGAGCGCGATTGGCTGGCGGGGGGAGAGAGGCGAACCAGCTGCGTTTGCTTCGTTTAAAAAGCAGGCCGTCCTTGATTGGGGCGGGTTGGATTCCGAGCGGACTGCGTGGGCCTCGAGAGCCACTGGGGACGAGCCCCTGGCGACCAGCGGCATCTGAGACGCGCACAGGATGGCGTTCTTCAGCCTCCCAGCCTTTCCCCACGACCCCGTTGGGGGCACAATTTGAACCTCCTTTCCACCCACGCTCTCCGCTAGCTCTGATCTGTCAAGGGAAGGCGCCGTGATTTGCCTAATCCAGGAGGGGGTAGATAGCATTTCCCCCACGCCCTAGGAAGAAGGTTGGCGGCGTTAGCAAGAGAACCGCAGAAGAGACTCGGTCTGTTGATGGCCTGAGAAGGGGGCAGGAGAGAGAGAGAGAGAGAGAGAGAGAGATCCCTTCTGTCTATTGCGTTGGATTCCTTCTTCTCAGGGAAGGAAGCGAAAGCGCTGCCTCGCTCTACGGCAAGCAAGGGGAGCCTCGGCGACGGAAACTGCCTCCTCCATCGACTCCCGCCGCGGGTCTGGAAAGCTGGCACACGAGTGCTCGGGGAGGGAGGCTTGTGTCGTGACCCCCCCCCCCACACACACAAGTGCAATGCGTGCCAGCATAGTTCTTGATACAAACGCCTGTGCGAGAAGGCTCATCGAAGCCTAGTGTCTGCTAGCGCCTCCCTTTCGCCTTGCATTGCCTCTGCAGTGCGTTTCTGATTCACCTTTAGGGCTACAGATACCATTACGTGGGAGTCAGTCTCATTACTGATCATGAGCCTCCCCTTCTGAATAACCGTACCTGTTCGGACTAATAATGATCCAACTGCCTTACTGAAGTGGCTGGCCTGAGAACGTGCTTAGAAAGAAATAGGCTTCTGTTAGCAACGGCCAAGGTCCCTGCATGAGCAGAAGGTGCTGTTGGTGGGGTCTTAGTAGTCAGTTTGGGGGGGGGGGCTGCTGGCTTGTGGCTGAGCCAACAAGGTGCTTTTTATGTTCTTGAGCAGGAGTGCCTGCTCATATTAGTTAATATTTCTTCAAGAGATCCCCAGTTGTTGGACCAAGTTGATTCTAGCAGGTGGGAAAAGACAGACTATGCACTGTTGGAAGTAATGGATTTTGGGATACATTGCACACACCCACTTTCAGTAGGTAGGCGGTAGGTCTGTAATGTTCAACTGCATACACTTTTCCCTTCCACAGCCCTAGGCTGGGTGCTAGACACTTTTCATGGTTACTCATATTTGGTTTAGAAGGTATAAACTGTAGGCCTGTACGGCTGTACCGTGTGCATACTAAAGTCATAACATGTAAAAGAAGAAGAGTTGGATTTAGGATACTCAAGAGTCTCAGGGCTGCTTACAATCTCCTTCCCTTCCTCTCCCCACAACAGACACCCTGTGAGGTAGGTGGGGCTGCTGAGAATGCTCTGAGAGAACTGTGACTGACCCAAGGGCACCAAGTTGGCTGCGTGAGGAAACCCGGTTCTCCAGATTAGAGTCTGCCCCTCTTAACCACTACGCCAAAGTAGTCAACAGCTTGTACTGTACTGGATGTATGGTTAGTAGCTCCAGAATGCTTGATAGGGTAGCTAATCTCTTCTGCATTTATCTTCATGGTAACTGTCTGTAGTTATGCAGTGTCTGTCTTCTTTTATTCCCTCAAACAAGTATTCAGAAATGCACAAATTAAGTCTTTCTGCTGGAGATATCACACACACACACAAATCCTAGTAGGGAACCACAGGGAATATAGGCTTCCTGAATATAAATATAAAATGTAGGACATGACAGTTCTTTAAATCTTTGCAAATAAACCATTAATAATGAGCATTATATGTCTATCACTTCCCACAATGGGAATCTTTTAGATTTCCCCCTAGGACTTTAGCCTGTAACTGTTACAGGGCTGGTTCATACAGCCTGAACTGGCACCTCCACACTGGTCTGTACTTATAGCCATCCTTTACTAACCTTTAGAATCGCTCAAATTGCAGGGGCCTCACAGAAGCACCTGCTCATCCAATTCGCCTTCTCTACCACCCCAACAGCCCACTGACAGCTTTGCAATTGTCACAACACTTCTGAGCTGCACTCCATATATTTATTTTAAAATGTATCTCCTACCTTCTGGTCAGGCCATCTTACAACAGTTAGGGATCCCTTAGGGCTAATTGGATGGGTGCCTCCAGTCTATCCTCTATGAGCTGGTGCTTGCTGTTGGCCCTACAAACTCATTAGTTGTGTTTTTTTTGGGGGGGGGGGAATCTGCTGAGTTGGTTTCTATAAATGGAATTTAATGATGCATCAGATTACCTGCTATTCTAAAACCATGCAAAGTTTGGAGATATAGATTCCATATTTCCCCATGTTTCTGACAGGATTACATCCAGCGATTAGACCCAAGTGCTTAGTTTTTACCAGGAGGGTGACACATCAGTTCAGAAGCCATGCTCCCTCATCTCAGATTTGTGGTAGTGATATAATGCACGCTTCTCCCCCAACAAGGGCATGGCTGAGCATACAGTGAGAGGCCACAACAGTGTTAAGAGTGTTTCAGCCTATCTACATCAGCTCCTTTGGATTATCAGTCTTTTCCCATTGCTCTTGAAAGCTCAGATTAAATCTTGCAGACATGCTTCCTGAAGAGACACTTAGGGCTCCTGTCATGTTTACAGAAGAGAAGTTAAGGAATATATACTTAATGGATGGAAATAGAAAAATAATTTATATACACTGAGTGGCACTTGGATGCTGCTTTGCAGTTCAGGGACAGGATATGAAAGCTTGCTTGTGCTTCCTGTTTCTGCCCAGCAATGTTACATTTGAAACGCAGCTTTTTACATTGCATTTTCTGTGCACACATCTCCTGAACACAAGAGGTATACAGCCTGCACTTGGGGTATGATACTGCAGAGGAGACAGGGCCACAGTGGCTCAGAAGTCTGTAGTTCGGCAGTTTGAGACCCTAGTGTCACGTGACAGAGTGGGCTTCCGTCTCTGGCCTCAGCTCCTGCCAACCTAGCAATTCGAAAGCAAGAAATTGCAAGTAGAGGAACAGGTACCGCTTCGGTGAGAAGGTAACAGCGTTCCCTGCGCCTTGGTGTTTAGTCATGCTGGCCACATGACCACGGAAACGTCTTCGGATAGGAAACGGAGATGAGCCCCACCCCCTAGAGTTGGATTCGACGATTCGACTGGCTTTCGAGCAAGGGAACCTTTACCTTTACTTTACTGAAGAGGAGACTCAAAAGTCTCTGTACTTTTCTGTTCTTAGATCAGTGTTTGCAGTGCTGAGATTACACGTTAAATGCCCCGAGTTAAACTTTCTGCACGCCAGCAATCCAAATGCCAAACTGAGATAAAGCAGAGTTCACTGGAACAAAATCTTACCTAGACTCAGTTGTCCAGCTATTTTGGCAAATATTGCCTGCTCACTTTCAAGGACATCTTTGCAACAGTAAGAACTAGAAACTTGTATTTTAAAGAGGACAATGGAGATCCATAGGAAGCTGATTTCTGCACCTTTTCTGTATTCCCATGGAATCACAGCATAGCCCCAGCTCCTTTCATAGGGAACCAACATCCTATCTTCAACCCTTTGAAGGTTTCACACGGAAACTAAACCTCCGAGTGATCTTTACAAGAAGGAAAAACTCACACCACTACATTCACTTGCTTATACTGACTGCTATAGAGTTCATTAAGGCACTGATGTACAGAGATCCAAGTTGTTATGGCATATTGAAGGAAAACAGCCTGAGGTTTTCTGACCTAACTTTCAACCTCTGT